ATATATTTTCCTTTCTTTTTCTTGTATAAATTTTAACTAAAGTAGGCTAAAAACCTGTGTTGTTGAAGCCTTAATAAACTTTGAAAAAAAAAAAAAAACAGTAGTGATCAAAGGAAGTGCTACTGGTGCTGGGCTATTATAGGCATCATCACTGTCAAGGTTGTGACAAAATATTATTAATGTAATCAGCTGAGCGTTTGCCGTGGCYGTTAACGAGTGTCGTCGCGTAACCTCGTCCTCGTGCGCACCACCACACGCTCGGCACTCGCTCGCTCGTTTGTCAGTTGTAATTCACGATTTGTTCGTGTTCTGTGTAATATGGAGTTGCTATTGGCCGTCAGTCGGTTGGTGGTGACTACTCGTTTCAAGTCCGCGTGTTGAAGTTGCTGGCGGCGGGCGATCGATCGTTTTTGTTTCAAGTCTAATAAAGGTAATAAATTCTACGTGACTATAGAAATAAATACGTATAATCATCTATACTGTTTTGATTAACTCTTTAAATTATTACATTGTTTCATATTTTACCTTTACAGCCTTATTTTGATCTCTGCAGTACACTATAGACTATAGTCTATAGTATTTAGTAGTAATTTAATTTAGTCGATAACGTTCGTTTATTCATTCACAAGTCGTACTGTTAATGTATTGATTATACACTTGTGTGAGGCGATATGATGTAATCTTATAATCATTTTTCTAATTAAAACTAGGTACTATTCTTTTTTCTATATAAATTAAGCTAATATTACTAACATTTAAAAAATATAGTATTATGTTTTACTTAAATTACACATCAGTAAGCCAATCATTTGAATTACAATTAAAATAAACTAGTACGTATATTTATTACTAGTTAAAAAAAATCTATAAGAATGTTTTTTTTTATTGATCTTGAAATTTACATAAATAAATTTCCGGTTCGACAACACGGGCCACTAGCGTTACATTTTTAGTAAAATACAATTATATAATTTAAATAGTCTAACAATATTTTAGTTGTGACTTACAGTAGTTTTATTGTTTTTATTGTTTTGAAAAATTCTATTGTGTTGGATTCGTTTTCAGGGTTTGGACCTAGACTTATTCCGATGTCGTGGCTTATATTTACTTCTTCTCTTTGTGTTTGGTATATTCTGCATTCTTCAAAAATGTGTTTAATTTTGAGTGTGGTGCCACAAGTTTGACATAATATGGGTGGTTCGTTTTTCGCCATAAAATATCCGTGAATCAATTTTGAGTGTCCAATTCTAGCTCAATTCAGTTTTTTTTTAATTTGTGGTACTAATGTTTGGGTTTCTTTTCCATCTTAATACAGTTTTTTTTAAATTTGGTTTAATTTGTTTGTTTGGATGTTCCAAATGTTTTTCCAAAGGGAGAATGTGTTTTGTCTGATCTGTTTTCTTACGTCAGTGTACTGGGAAATGTTTATGAATTTTGCGTCATTTAAGCGGATAGCAAATTTGGCTTGTTTATTTGCCCTTTCATTGCCATCTATTCCTGTGTCCTGGAGGTACCCATATAAGGATTATAGTATTGTTTCTTTTTTTTGCTTCCTCTAATCTGTTTTGAATTTTGTATTGCTATGTCACTAGAATTAAATTTGTTTTTTACACTAATGAAGGAGCTTAACGAGTCACTTAGAATAATGTATTTTTGATTTTGATTTTTGTTAATGAACTTAATAGGCCTGATGGCTGGAACATGTAGGTAATTTGAATGATGTTCGTAGATTTTCTTTTACTAAAGCTATTCCTACCCGTCCCCCTTCATAATTTTTGGAGGCATCAGTAAATATTTTATGGAATTCATTTAGATATTCAATAGTACTATTTAGAGTCTGTGTTTATGTGCTTGTCCTCGTGGGGCTTATTATTATTTCTTTTTTTATTATTTGAGGTATTTTGGAGTAATCTTGATTATTTTGAAGTTCTATTATTATTTTTTTTATAAGAATTTATATCCGTGCTTGATAGGTATATATTATTGATTAGTAAATTTCGCACGCATAAAGATAAAATATACAGATTATCATTAATTATTATGTAGGTTGTTACTATGCTTTCAGATTCTTAGCTGAGTTTTAAATGTATTGGTTTTACAATAATGAGTTTTTTTGTCTGTTATCACTTATCATCTCTTGGTTATTGAAACATTGAAAATGCTAGAATTTTTAACTTTGATGGTGGTTTCTGGAAGAAAATTGTATTTAATTGATATATACTTTGGAGGGTTAAAAATAAATGAAAAAGTCAAAAAAATAATCGAAATACAGTCCAAACAAGTTTTTAATAATTTTTTTTTTTTTTTTAATTCTCGTGCTATATGATTTATCAATGTATCATTGAATTCAAATTCAACACATCCATTACAGACTAGTCAGACTACAGTTTCCAACTCAATTCTTAATACACTCGAAATCTACTACWCGCAAAGTGAATTCTCTGATTTCTTTATTCAGATCTTTATTTTTACGAGTGTACCTATATATTTTGTTCTATTAACAATTATTATTATTTATTTATTATTTATTAAGTCTAGCACCGGGCTCGATTATAAGAAGAAGATTAATTTTGTATTTAATTAAATGTAGGTACCTATTGGTAAATTAATCGTTGTTTTCAATATAACTAATTACAAAACTATAATAATAATTACTATATGGAAAAAAATATCGAAGAAGTATAAAAGGAGTAAAGGAGTATACATATCGATAACTAACATTCCTAAAATATATTTATAAAATTATAATATACAAGTAGATTTATTGGTGTACTGTAATTTTTAAAGTACCTATACCCACTAGGATGTTCAAATCTTGTCGATTTTGCAGGTTGGCGTACGATATGTGACGATGTGTGTCTTTACTTGTAAGTTGTAASTGCGTCGATTGTATTGCTTTAGGTAATTTGCCAATTTACACAAATATAGGATGTCATCATTATAATCTGAAGTTTTATTACTCAGAAGTATTATTTTTTTCTTAGGTATTTGTGATATTTGCAATAATTACACTTTATCACATACCTATCATTCGCAGTTGACTACAGTAATACAACTCTATATTTAACCGTTGACCGTAAACTAAACTATACACGTGGACACGTGGACACGTGGTCGTGTTGAAATGTTGAAGAGCATTTCAAGTAATATTACGATATATAAGGTGTAACGAGACTATTTAACAAATGTACATTACAAATAGTACTGTTACACGGTGTGTAACTTACACCCACTTGAAAAATGTTTGATAATGATACTCTAAAATATATATTGTCATTTTTTATACAATAATCCAAATAACCACTTGAAATTTTTAACAAATCAACCTAAAGATTTTTTTTTTTCAATAAATTCCGTATTAAGTTTTATATTCACAGCTTAAAAATATCGTTATATAATTCAATATTGTGATTTTTTTGATTCAGAATTATGTATCCATATAGATAATAGATATTGATGACGTTGATGATCGTTAAATTGTACTAATTGTAGTATACAGTCAATTAAAATAATTTATAGATAATTAAAGCATAACATTTTAATTAACGTACCTACCTTTTATAATTTTTATTCAAATTATATATTATTTTAAAGAATAAATTGATTTCTACTTTTAAATTGAATTTAATAAGTATACTTATTATCTACTATTCAGAATTATAGTTAAGTCTTGGTGATATGTAGCAAAAATTGTCAAATTTTATGATAGCCATAATATTAATGGTTTTTGATAACATTTTACAATATAATATAGTATTATTATTTATTAGGAATGTAGGACAATAGTTTTACTTAAAATATTCTAAAAACAGTTTTATTTTGATACAAATACATTTAGGCTTAATTATATATAATGTAGAATTTCATAAAAATTTAATTAATTTAATGGTTTACTAATACTTATTTAATTGATAAATTATAGTTAATAAATCACGTTTAAGGGACCATTTGTATACTATTGATGCATTACATTTTTAGTGGTTGTTCATACATCCCGACATAAGAAGATTTAAAAATGTTAAATAAACACCATACCAAATAGATATACCTAACAAATTATATTAACTTATCAACTGTCTAGGCTTACTCATGCTATATATACTGTTATATATTTTTATTACGCAGTGAGTAGTCGTATCCGTATGTATACTAACTGTTGGTATTATTCTGTTATGATTCTTCGATTATTCAATCTAATATATATTATTTAAAATTTAAAATTTGAAAACAAATTCTGAAATTCAATAATCGACTGGTGTTGTACAGTAATTACGTATTTTATTGTATATTATATCATTCATCGACACWATTAAATCAAGATTGGTACTCATTTTAAATTATCTAATACCTATATTATTATTGATAATTATTTATATAATATCCTAATATAAAGGAAAAATAGTTTGACATTCAGAACAATTTGCAATATAACATTATTTATTAGATCGTTATATTTTACACAAAAATTGATTTTTTAGCTGCGTAATAGCATTACCAAATTTTTAATATTTATTTAAAAAACATATGGGAATAACAGCATAAAAATTGTGTAGCAATAAACTTTTATGACATAAATTATGATCTTGTCTAAAGAAAAAAAATAAGTTACACTATAAGAGATAATACTTAATCGTTTTAAATTTAATGATGGTAACATACTAACATTATTATTATATTAAACACGTGTTATTAAATACCTAATGTGTGGTCGACCTTTTAATACATTTATATGATTATATACTATCATAATTAAGATAATTATAGACGAGTAGATGACTAAGACTAATGAAGACATGCTCCACAATACTGATATTTACTTATCTGGTGCGAACCTAAATTATTGTTAATTCGCAGTAACCGTATATAGTATAAGTTCTATTATTTCGTTATAATAGTATAATTTTTATTTTTTTATCAAATTATTTAAAAATTTTAATTGCAATGCACATTAACATAATAGCATTTAATATGAAAATATTAATTTAAATTTTGTAATTTTGTAATTGTATATAATTATACTTTACACAGTTAAATATTAATATAGGATCAGATTCATACATATTATTGTCTGTAAATTAAATAGGTAATTGTTTTTATAATATATCACTAATATCTTTAAAATATTTTTAGGAATGGCGTAAAATGGAATTTATATTAGGTGCCTTGGGCGCCAGTGGCGCTGTGTGCTTCACCAATCCATTGGAAGTAATAAAAACCAGGTTTCAGCTACAAGGAGAGCTGAAAAAAGTGGGAAACTATAAAGTCCACTATAGAAACTTCGCTCACGCTATTTACGTAGTGGCAAAAAATGAAGGACCGCTAGCTTTGCAAAAAGGCCTGTTACCGTCCATGGGGCACCAAGTATTCTTAAATGGAACGAGGTTAGGCATTTTCGATCTGGCACAGAAAAAAAAATGGATACTTAAAAGTGATGGAACTGTTTCGCTGATTAAGTCCGCGCTTGTTGGAGGCGGAGCCGGCATGTTAGGTGGCTTTTTAGGTAGTCCACTGGGCATGGTGAGTGCAATTAACAATAATCATACATTTATATACATTAACATATGGGCGTATCTTAAAATCGTTGTGAAGTGAAAAGGATCGAATTTATAAATTTACTGTAATACCTTCTATTCAACTTATTCATTTAATAATTAAAAATAAAAACTTATTTAATTTTATCAAAAATCATAAAAAAAATATTTTAATGTCAAAATATAGTCCTCAAGTAAAAGCCAGCAAATGGCGGCAGTATTATAATCTCCATATTGTCAATGCACATAAGGAGGTACTRCCTTTAACAGTGAGCAAAGTTGCAATGTTTGAAAGGCATAGGTTTATCTTAATTTTATACTCATAAATTCTAATTAATAAAAAAACTGATCATTCAATATTATATGATGTATTTTATGTTATACGCCAACATTAAATAGAAAAATATTCTACATTCTATTAAACTAAATATATTACAAATTGAAAATTTCATGTAACGAAAATAATAATATTTTAGACGAGCAGTCTACTAAAATAATAGTTACATATTTAATATCAAATTCCCAATGTGAACCTATCTTTAAAATGCGAATTTAAAAAAATAATTTATTCGTACACCCGTGATCTGTGCATTTTAGTCCGAAGACACCATGAAAACGTAACGTATTAAGCCATGATAGTTTTGGCAGTGTACGTGGAACAGTCAGAACATCGTCTTTTTATTGGGTAGAGGGAATTTCTGGACCAATCTTCATTAAACTAAAATATACAGTAGTCCTCGATTATTGAACACACTTAAGAAACGGACCATTTGAGTCCAATGAGTCAGTTAAATACGAGTTCAATAAGCGTAACAATAACTATATATTGGGTGCATAGATTAAGTTTGGTATTTTCATATGTTTTTATTGAGTCTTTAATTACTCATCCACACAACTGGGTGTTTTCGTAAACGAAAGTCGGGTAAAGGAAACTATAACCTATGCGGCTATGCCCGATAATAGAGATTATGCGAACCTACGGCATACGTGCCAAAGGTGGCACATTGGTCAAATTTCAATGGCACGCAAATAATAAATTGTAATATTCCTATGTAAAATGTATGACATTACTATATTATTATTATATATTTATTTTGTACTATTTAGTATTTACGAATTTGGGCACGTGGAAAACTTTTAAAACCTTGATTAAAAAAAATTTGCCACTTGACTCAAAAAAAGTTAGCCACCCCTGCCCTATAGTCAATTAAATTAATCATAAATAATTAATCATAGCGTCTAGAAACACTAAACTTAATTCATGCACACTTCAGTTATAATTATTGAAATAAATATTAAGTTTCATTAAGATTGGTCCAGTAGTTTCTAAGGAGCTCTAGGAGCTCTAGGAGCTTTCTAAGGGAGTCAGAAGCTCTATGCTTCACTTCACTCAATACGACTATTGTAKGCCTCAGTGGCTTAGCCATCCTTAATAAATAACCACTATAACTGGTTTATATTATTCACGATAGTGTGCATTTGTTTATGATCAAAAGTCTACTGCAGATTTTTATATTTTTTTTTATTTATGTATGTGGTTTGGATTTTGTTTAGTTAAAAATTCACTTGCAATCATTTTCCGCTCAATCAATCGCAGTTGGCCATCARCACAACACCACCAGCACTATAAACGGTCTACTGACGTTGTACCGGAAGTACGGCGTAGTCCACGGGCTATGGCGCGGTGCCACTGGGGCCATGGTACGTATTGGTGTCGCGTCGGCTACACAATTGAGCACGATAAGCTTACTCAACGAATCGCTCATCAACCACGGTGTGTTGACCAAAGATCAGAAATTCCTGAGCACCCTCATATGCAGCATGTCGGGTGGAGTACTGATGTCAATAGTGATGGCGCCATTCGATCTGGTATCCACCAGGCTTTATAACCAAGGTATATATAACATGTGGGGTCATTCTCGTATAATTTACCTAAATTCAATATTATTCATATATATGACTCCGAAACATATGCACAATAATATACATATATATACTAGCGTTCTGTATAAATTTATAATACACAAAGAAGGGAGAAGTAGTTATATTCTAAGGTAATATGGTGATTACCAAACGATTGGTGGCTGAGTGTCCAAGTATAGCTACCAGGATTTACTATATAGATATTGATTGAAAATTGGATTTCTGATTGACCGTAGGTATATACAGTGATACAGTTCAATGCAGTGATTCATTGATGACTATATGATTTCAAATAATTAGATTTTTATTCCATTTAACTCTTAAAGAGTGTCCTTAATTTATATCTTCAATAAAAATCCTATGATATTCGAATGAGTAGTTTTTGTGCAGGTGCTAAACATAATGGGTTTGGTCGTCTGGAAGATTATAATATAAAATAAGATTAATATTATAATATTTACGATGATAAATAAATAAAAATAAATAGTAGATATGATACATACTTATTACTTAGTTAATCCCCCTGTATATATTTAATAACTTTGCCTATAGGATCCTATATAGATCATACTATACGCATATTATAATATATTATATTTGTTTTTTAACTGTAGCTGTCGATGCCAGAGGCCGCGGTCTTTTATACTCGTCGTACTTGGAATGTTTGACCAAGACTTTTAGACAAGAAGGAATCTATGGACTTTACAAAGGCGTCGTCCCTTGCTACCTCCGACTCGGACCCCACGTTGTTTTAAGCATGGTATTCTGGGACAGGTTGCGACTGTTAGAATCAAATGTGTCCAACCATTTTAAAACCATTCAGAGTCTTTGATTTTTTAATTAGTTTTTTAAACGATTTGTTATTGTGTATTTTTATTTATCATGTAAATCAGAAATCCCATGGTAATAATACATTGTTAAATTATATATTTTATATTATATAGATAAAGTTCCTGATGGTATTGAATTTCAATAAAATGCAAAAAAAAAATTAATAAAAACTTTATTATACCTATTGATAAAATGTTACTTCAACGATTTTTAAACCATGTTCTATAATTATTTTATTTACCAAATTGAACATCAACTATGAATAATTATCCATAATTGTATAATTTTCTAAGCTAAATTATAACAATTAACAACATTTTATAGTATGATGTCACATCACTACATCAGTGATGGAACTATATGGAAGAACTAATTGAGTAGATATTCACAAAATATTATAAATTACTAACATGTCAGAATTAGTACCTACACAAACACAATATATAGATTATAAAGTGTCGACCATTTTAATTTAAAGCCCATATTATATATAATAGGTTAGTATTTCCGTATAGAGTATTTACTATTATACATATTTCTAAGCTATTATCTCTTATATTTCTATATTCACCACTTATCAAATGCATGCTTGGCGTGGAGTGCGGCTTTCAGTCATAAACGCGTCTTAGTGCTAGCGCTGATCGGGGGAAATACGTTTGGGCGCATTTACCCAAAACAAAACACTTTTAGGCGTAAATCCATAACACGTTTGGGCGTAATATTTCCCTTTATAATAATGCGTTTGGGCGCATTTATTTCTTTGCATATATTAACATATTTTTTTTAAATCTAAGCCTATTAGCGTTACCCAGAAGACACGTTAAAGCACGTCGTCTACACACGAGAGCTCAATACACTGCAACGATCATAAACTATCAAACGGCGACCAATATAATATTACATATTATCTGTACTATAGTAGATAAATATCTATAGCTATATTTGATGTGGTATTTTCCAATGATTAGGACATAGTCTACAGATCAAACGTTTAAGTACTAATTACATTAGATTACACAAGATTTTCAATTACTAGTGGCAATACCTATTGTTCCCAAAGGTGTCTTTATAAATGTGCCCAAACGTGTTAACAATTTTCAGGTAAATTATTTATACTGCGCCCAAACGGGTCATGCCCCGCTGATCAGTGTCACTAGTTCCTGGATGGGTGACCACCCGAGTTCTTAGTAGCAAATCCTTTTCACACATACACGTGTTCCTAACTGACCGTATCAACCRCAACTCCTACAATAAAAAAAAAAGGATAATTACCTCAGATTTCGAAGTCCCCTCATGCACTGCCTCATTGCCTCTTCAAATCTACAAAATCATCTTGCCATCATGGAAAACTGGTTTACCATATGGCGTTTCAAATACCAGGTAATCCCCCAAGACGCCTAAAGCGTAAGTGGTGTTGTGATTTGTTATAAAAAAAAATAAAAAATAAATTATTAAGTACATAATTAAGTAACCATAGAAAGTGTCATCAATGGGTTCTTTTATCAAATTATTTTCCTGTGAATGTACACTTAGCACATATTCTTATTATATYAATGATACAGATTATAYATTACTTTTAAAAATTAAAAGATTTGGAAGTTTTAAACTAAGTAAGGAAATTTTGATTTAATCGATTTAAATTTTAAAATCTACTTTGCACGTGCATTACAAGTAATAATTGTCAATGTATAATTATTAACAATGTGTTGTGGGTTTACCTCACTCATAATAGRTAGATATAGCTTATACAGTTATAMTCTCATAACTAATTAGTAATTAGTGATATTAAGATTAAGTTACAGTTACCTAAAGGTTAGAATGTTAGATAGATTTAATTCTAAATAGGCACGTGCCTGACATAGTGACATATATCTATGTAATTTATGTTATACGACAATATTTAGTAAATAGTAACTCTACCAATAGGTATATCGTTTCATTTATTATTATTAAATTATTTAACATAATTTAATAATAATAAATTGTTGTTAATAATATTATAGTTATATTAGTTGTACAATATATTATATAAAAATATATATCATCACTACACGCTTGACCTTAATTAATATTTAATTTGTTACTGTATTGAAATTAATTTCTTTCTCCAATTACTTATATCTCCTTTGTATAGGTATTTAATAGTTATTGCTATTTTGTTATCATAACAGAAGGGCTGTAGCAATTTCATGTTTTATACCTATGAACCTATGTAATAACAGAAAATCAGTTTAAYGCATGATAATATATTTATATGATATACCTACTAATATAGTAATATAATTGTAATTTATTAGGTATGCATTAAAGAGTTTACAATCAAAAATGTTATCGATAGGAATTAGGAACTATGTAGGTATGAGCATAGATCAAATATACAAATTTTAATTGAATGTAGTATATTTTAACTATGGTACAAGATACCTAGTAGCTAGTGCCTACCTATACAAAATTTTAAATGTTCAATTTATCAAAATTTAAAGAAAATCACATAGGTACGTACATTTTTTTCAATTTATTTAGGTAATAATTTGTATTGATTAAGCTTTAATCTGCTKTCAATAAAGAACATCATATAATATAATTAAAGACCCTGAATTAACCGGCCTCAGTCGACTAATCGACCACTTATGTAGAGACGATAGTGTCGTCTTTAAATTTTACGTTTAGATTTTTAAAAATAAAACWCAACGACTATAAATTAACTGGCTTCACATCAGCGCCRAGGCAAATACGGTAATATCTATAATTCTATAAAGAATTAAACAAAACATGGTCGTAAACACTTATTTAAAACATAAAAAAAATTWAATATATTCTTGTAGAGAGTAATCATGTGAGTATCATGAGAATTTCCAAATAGGAAATAGACCTAAATGTCGACGTATAAAKAGTARTGTAAAATTAATTGTTTTGTATCAAGGGACTGCTAAGACCTGTTGCTTGTAATTTAGATATGTAATTAACTTGTTTTTGATTCATTGAGGTGAAAGGATTGTCGACCAAACTTCATATACAGGGTAAAAAGTTGAAGAAAACGGAAGATTTTATTTTTGCAAAAATATAAGTTTTCCAAAATGTTATTACTTACAAGGTTAGGGATAAAAGGCGACTTATT